AGGGGTGCACAGATCACCAAGGCTCATCGTACGTTGGGTTGCTTTGCTGTTTGCCTTGGTTGAAGGCCAGTCTCCAACTCTCAATCTCCACACCCCAGTTCCCCAATGTTCATGTTGCCCGGCGATCTTGGCAAAAGCTTTCCGTCGTCTTGGCTCAGGAAAAACTTTGACGCCGATCGCTCTCTCAAAGAATGTTTCTGTGGTGAGAGCCGGCACAGGCACATATGGCCACACTGCGAGGTTTCAGACAGTTCCGAGCATGATCTCAATTCTGAGCCGTCATTAACCGAAGCGGGAACAATCAAATCCCGCTTCGAGAGTGCGACATAGGCTTCCAAGGTCTTCAAGTACAAGGATGAGCATTTAGGGGCCACCTGCCGCAAGGTCCATCTGGCTGAGTTTCTACGTGGATTTGCAGAGGACTAGGGCCTAGGGGAAGGGCTTGGACCCACTGATAGCTGCAGCTAACTTTGCTGGGGCGGGCTCTACGGGGCAGCAGTGGCATGCAGATGCATGTAACAAAAAGCCCTTGCATCCAGCTGTTTCAGATCCGACAGCCCATAATGGGTTCGGGTGCTATAGGAGGTGTGAGTGGTTTGACGTCATATTTGTTGTTGCGATTTTCCCCGGACCCTGGGCTGGGCCTTCTGGAATGGCTTTGCCAGGTGGGCCTTACCTCAACTCTGTTACTGACAGAACAGCTTGACAATCGGAGGTTACATCCTTGCTGTCGCGGATGTTTGGCAAGAGCCCCATCAAAGCAACCGTTAATGCCGGGTTGAGCAACCTTGGGAGCTGGCAGGAACCTCGCCGAGGACCCCAGTTTCACGGGGGACTGGGTGCATCGTCTTTGTGGCCCTCTGTCGCGAAGTGGAGGGCTGTGAGTTGAGTATGGTCTTTGGAGTCTCGAGGTGCAGCTTTGAGTCTTCTTGGGGAAGATTTCCGCAGAAAAAAGTGCATGTGATGTTACTATCACACTGCCTGTGTCGTGACGGTTGCATCTAGTGTGGTCCTGTGCTGATCACAGGGCACTGCAAAAGACTACTCGTAGAATGCTTCCCTGCTTCCGATCAGTGTGCTCCCGACACTAGCTCGTCGCTGCGTTTCGTTTCACCGAAACTCCCACACAGCATAGGGCCGACACAAGTGAGGTCACGGCAGAAGACAGCACACAGGTTGAGCTGTTGATGTCTTAAGTTGAGTTGTGCCAACGTATATGGTATATGGTGTACTATGTATGAGATTAGGTATGTTTGGGCAGAAGTGCAAAAAGATCTGCGCTTTATGAAGATCTGTCTCCTAGGTACATCATACCCGGTGATCTTCCGAGTGGTCTCCGTCGATCCGCAGGACGAGTATTCAGTTAGGGTTAGGGGTTTAGGGTCTAGGGTTTAGAGTCTAATAGAGTTTGGGAGGACAGCCATGAAACCTCAGGAACCATTGAACACACGCAACCGAAAATCATGAAACTATCGCCACGTGTCTGTGTACAGGTTCCTGCACATCATACCTGAGTTCACATGTATAATATCGTTTGTCATCGGCCGTGTTTAAGCCGTGGCATAACATGGTGTGTCGGAAGTGGCTTCTATAGTAGTTCTACAGTTTCTACAGTTATGGTCCGGATGTGTGCGCGTACGATTTCCTTGGTTCGTGACTTCGGCAGTCGTGCTGTCTAGGTTCAACGTAGTTTATGGTATGTCGTGCCCTTGTATACATTGAAGTTCAATGTCCCGCTATGACATTGAGTTTTGCTAAGCCGAGGCATGAGGCATTCATGGCCCTTCGACTTGCAATCGAACCGATCGATTTACTGTGCATGCCTTCTATTACCGCCACGATTGAACATCATGAATCACTGTTAGCACATAGGGAAGATTGGGCCAATTCACAGACCATGCCATTGGCTTTCATTGTCATGGTTTTGACACAGTTCTGCCACGACGACCGCGACCACGACCACACACTGCCTACTATTAGAGTGCTTCGATGACGGTAGCTGCGACCACACAGAAACATGTCCCCCCTCGTCCCTAGCGTGCGTAAATTGATACTGTAATTACGCAGACAGACAGACAGACAGACAGACAGACAGACAAACAGACAGACAGACAGACAGACAGACAGACACACACACACACACCAAACGCACACACGCTTACAGCCAGCCAGCCAGCCAGCCAGCCAGCCAGTCGTGCATACGTAAAGGTATGCTTCTGTGCAAGTGGGTGTTAATCATTGAGCACTCTTCACTCTTCCTGCGACAGCTGATGTTGTAGCTGGTGTTGTATTTGTAGTTTCTCCGATGCTACACTACATAAACTACGTCGCTACGGCTTCAGTACTGCTCGGGTGCGAGGACGACTCTTTCACCTTCAGAAGTGACTGTCCGGCCGGGCTTCTGGCGATGGCTTCAGCCCCCTGGACGAGGCTTCAGTTCAGATGCAGACGTGTATCGCTTGTTCTTGACAAGAACGCCGGGGATCGGTGTTCCAACTATCCAGATCATGTAAGTAGGCTCTGTGGTCAATCAGCTCAGCGGTGGCCTCTATTTCGAGCTCAAGGCCTATAAGACTCGCATTGTGTGTCGCCGTCGTAGTTTGATGGCCTTTGTTGCCTCTGGCCAGGCCAACAGGCGAGGTTCTCTGACCCAAGTGAGATGCCAGCCTAGAGGTGGTCACGCAGACGATGCTACGTGTAAGTCATTCCCAGTCTGGCGCATCGTTGAACCCAAACTCCCGGGTCTCCATGCTCGAAGCAAGGCTGACTGTTCTAAGGTGTGCGCACAATCCGCAGCTCTTCAACGGCTGCAGGCTGGTACAGGTATGCAATCACAGCTGATAGGCAAGATACTTGCATGGATGGAGCTTCAAAGCTGCACAAAGGTTTAGATGATACAGCCAATGGGCATGTCATTGTCAAAGTGAGCAGGCAGCGAGCAAAGCAACATCAGATATAGAAGTGGCGTGCATGTCAGGATGCTTGGACACACGCAGATGCTGCCTTACATGCTTGCCTACGTATTTGCACATGTTCACACATTCACACATACATACATACATACATACATACATACATACATACATACATGCATACACACGTGCACACACCTACATACCTACATTACGGCATTCCTGCACCTACATACGCACAGGCTTACTTATACGGACAGACTGTGACAGACAGACAGACAGACAGACAGACAGACAGACAGATAGACAGAGAGACACACACCTGCACAAGCACAACGAAACCTGCACATACATGCGTGCTTGCACACTTACACACATACGTACAGACGTACATGCATATCTACATGTATAGGTATCTTATGCTAGATTCGTGGTCACGTACCCCATACACATAGACTTATTACACATATCACACATAATACATCTAAACAGCTTTCACCCAGAACATGTGCGCGCACGCACATTCATGCCTGCATGCATGCATACTTATGTGCTTGCTTACTTACTTGCGTATGCATCGTTAGATGGCGTTCTGGTTTCATTGTGTGCCTGTTGTTTCTGTCATGTCGTATTTTGATCGCTTGTGGATGGTTTACAGCTCTCAGGAACCTGCATAACTTTTGTTCACGTGCACGTCCAGTCAACTGGTCGTACTAGAACACTGTCAGCTAGATGAAGTGTTTGGAAATACTTTCAAAATTATCAAAATCGTTTTCTGTGTATGTGTCTATACTATATATATATATGTATATATGTATGTATATGCGTGTATGCATACGCACATACATACATACATACATACATACATACAGACAGACAGACAGACAGACAGACAGACATACATACATACATACACATACAAAAGCGCATACATACATGTATACATACACGCACGTTTGTACTCATGTATGTATCTGTGTATGTAATTGTGGATGCATGTATGGTATATCTAGACTGTTCCAGACGTGCATGAACTAATTGTTTTTGTTGTTCCATTGCCTTTTGATGCGTTTTGCCTAGGTGGTACTTGAACACGCTCATAAGAAGGTACAGGGCGCTGTAGCACTGGGAGACTCGTGTGAACATCCTGCGGAATTGGTGAGCCGACACAGCTGTCCATCTATAGGCTGAGCCGGCAGAGGAGCCTACGCACTTCGACACAACAAAGCACCTTGGTGGAGGATGTTGTTTCCAAGGGAAGCGTCGTGCTGGGTGGCTTTAGGCTCCAAGGGCGTGTCCCGCTTAAGGTGTGTCCAGCTCTTCCGGGCAGTGTAGAATGTAGTCCGGCAAGAGATCAGGGGCACGCACTGGCGAAGCTGAACCTGGAGAGGAACGGGCACGATAACTTTCGATTTACTTGAAACGGCGACTAGCGAATCCCTGGAAGGATGGAACACCTCATGTCCGGGAGCCTTGCCCAAGGCGCTTCTGCCCAGGAGTCTTTTGCTGAAGGAGTGCTTCGATGATCTTACCCTAACCCCCCAGGTACCTACTATATAGGGCCCTAGGGGCTCTAGTACCCTATATAGTAGGTACCTGGGGGGGGTTAGGGTTATTGACGAACTTCGATGGCAGAACCTTTCGTGTGTGACTCGCTTTTCGCTGCCACCACCATCATGCCACAAACTCGCACGGAATGTAGATGCTTCAATTGAAGCAGGTCACCACACTGTTCTGCTGATGCATGAGACAGGATGCAAAGCCCATCTGTCCTCTTCCTCTTGTGTGAGTTGATTTGAGCCAGACTAAACACCAGATCCTGCAGGCGATAAACCCGAAGACTTTGCAGACCTTTGGGCTTTCACCGACCGCGTGGTGAGGAAGGCATCGTGCCCATTCATGTGTTGCTAAGCATGGTGTCAGTTGTACCACTTTCTGAGATTCTGTTCGGTCACCTGTCTTGTAGTACCGACACTGTAGCTTTGCAAGCTGATGCATCACATAATAATAAAAAAAATAATAATACCTGGTAGGACACAGCACTAAGTACCAAAAAACGCCATCCTTGAAATGCATGGGAGCTGCAAGGAAGGCGAATCGGTTGGAGACTTCTTCGGGCCCGTGAGCCTCAAGGCTCGGAGGGGCTCAGCCCGTTTCGGTGCGTAGCAAAGCTGGGTCAACTTGAGGTAACTAGAATCTGTAACTAGAAGGCATACTCATACCATACTGTACCAGCGAAGGCCAGTTTTCTGAAGTGCAGCTCCACCTCTCTATAGACCCTGAACCTTTGAAGCAGCAGTCGGCCGTGCATGCTGCGGCAGCTTGCTCAGGAGTGCATATCTCACTGCAACCGAGTGCCTCGCTGCATGTCCATTTCTCACGGACCTCATGGATGCCATCTGAAAGACTCGAAGCTGCAGAGAGTGTAGGCTTTGTGGGTGTCTTATAACTATATTCGCGACTTCTCCAAATGTTGCGACTTCGGAGCGCTCAGTACGATGCAGCCCCAATCATCTTCGCCGGAGCGGCCGGTTTCAGTGAAAGCAACACTCCAAAAACTACACACCTGAATCTGAACCCAAGCCCAAGACCCTAAAAGGCCCTCAACCCAGGACCGCTGCGTATCGCCTGGCGAAGACATGGTCCCCGAGGGCGAGCAGGGTGCGGACTATCGCACAGTCGGGGGCCTAGGGTTTTCTGTTTGGGTGTTGGGTATGCGACTCTGGGCAGGGGAGAGGGCCTGCAGTCAAGGGTTTGAGTCGTGTGTACAAGGTATTCCGCAAGTCGTGCACTTCGGTGTCTGGCAAGAAGCCAGACGAGATGCACAACTCGCACACACAGGACGGTTAATCCATAGAGGCGGGGTTTAAGGTGTAGCATAAAATTACAACTTCACTGCAGGGTTGCAAAAGCCTCCATACTTGAGCAGCTCGAAGGGCATACCGCTACGACACACCAAGTCCTGGCCAACGGAACTGTAGCACTGTAGCCCTTGGACTGCCTGGTTTCGTCCCTGGCACGTCTGAATAAGACCCTAAACCTAAACCCTATAGTACCCTCCAAGGGGATCCCATGATTGTTGCTGCAAAAAGCCGGGTGCTTGGCAAACTCCTCAAAGCCATCAGGAGCTGCAGAACATGATGGGGTTCGCACTGCGGGCCTTGGAGTTCTGCCTGCACTGTCCCTCAACGGCATGCCTTTGGGGTTCGGGCATAATCAGTGTAGGCATATAGTTATTCCGACCAGTTGCCGGCTTTGCAGAGGCTTGGACGCTTCGCCCTGGCCGTTCTTGCTCAAGGAGGTGCTGGAGAACTTCGGCATAACGGGTTTAGGACTTGTGCCGTTGTGTCGTTTGCGGCACTCCGGTGAGGTCCAGCGTCTGGTGCTTCTGGTTCTTTCACGGGTGGGTTTGTTTGCCGTGCAGTTATACCGAGGATGACACGAATCGCATCGAATCGCCCTGACCTTCTAACCACACCAGAGAAACACCAGGACATGTAGGCCCAAAGAGAGCTTGTCGGGCCCTGAGTTCAGGAATTATGCCCTTGCCGTCGAGGGGCCGGACGAATTCCTCTGGCACAGGGCAGCTGGCAGGACACCCCATTTTGGGCTTGAGGGTCGAGGCTTCAATTCTCAAAGCGCATACATCTGCCGTTCTCCACCGCAGATCAGGTGCTGTAGGATTCGGAACGATATGACTTTCGTAAATGTGGAACTCCTGATCGGAGATCGTCGGTGGGCCTGGTCCAATGGCTGTTTAATTGGTTCTGAAACGCCAAGCATGACGGGTAGTAACGGAAACTAGCATTTTTGCCGAACACCTTGCTGCTCAAAATGAGTGTTCCTCAGCACCGGCTCAGGCAGGACCATAGAGACCCGGATGCCAAAAGGCAAAGATGTCCCGGGCACTGCGCGCAATGCCGTGCCTTGCGAGCTACAACACCACGGTGATTGTCATCACTGCAGTCGTTTCCGCGCTCCTTTCATTGATCGGTGTCATGTGCATACTGCTTGCCACAGTACCTAGCCGAGAGAGTCTGCCGAGCTTGATTTCGACCGTGGTACTGTTGTCGGCTCTTTCCTTTGGCCTCGTGAAGACTGCATCTGGGCTCAAACGGAAGTTACACTCTTACATTGAGTTACCATGATAGGGGCCTAGAGTACAAAAGACATGGCTTCCGTTTATTTTAATGGACCCAGGCATTCGGTCGTTCCGGACGAGGCAGACAGGCGAAAGAGTGCAGCTGCATCTGGGCGACTTGCTTGTTCAGCACCCTGGCAACCAGGCCCTTGGAATACCGGCATGTCCGAATCACACAGAAGGACGGAGCAGTCGATTGGACTCCAATCGCAGAGGTTTGCAACTTATCCAGCGCCTGTTTCGGTTTGGAACTGGAGAAGACCTGCCCGTGTTGTTTAGATGACTTTCAGCCAGACAGTAAAGTGGCTGTTCTGCCATGCCGGCACATGTTTCATGAGAGGTGCATCGTCCGTTGGTCGTTGGCCTCTGCCGCAAAGGGTCCATGGTGCCCGACGTGCCGAAAGACGTATCAGACTTCTGGCCAACTACCATCGGCAACTCAGCTGGGAAGGTCGTCTGTTTAACATGGCAGAAGCTCAGCTTAGCATTCCCCTTCGTTAAAGGAGTGTTACTTACTCTGGTGCAACTTTGCAGTGCCGCAGGGCGCAAATTTAGTAGCTAGCTGCCACCACGGCATTGCTTTGCAAACGCGGAGTTGGTCCATGCTTCCGTCGTTGCCTCGATGCCTGCCAAATGCAATATGCGCGGCGGGAGCTGTCTTCCATTAGCCTTGTATAGACCTGCTTGGCTGATGCCCTGCTTTTCCCAGTGCAGCACAGCCGCTTGGCAAAGGCTGACAAAGGCCTCTCTGCAGCCCATGGGGCCAGCCATGAGGCAAACCCAAGTTGAGTCGTTCACCTCAAAAAGGGAGTGCTGTGCCCAGAGGCTGTGGGTTGGATTTTGCGGGAGACTGCGGAAGTTTCTTAGTGGCTTATAATTAGTAGGGGTCAAGACCCACCTGAGACTTGACGAGCTTGAACTCGTGCGCCATGTGTCCACGTCGTCACCCCTCCTGGTCTCACGGCAACTGCGATCTGCGCCTGGCCAGGCGATACAGTTTCAGCTCAGAAGAATGTGCATGGATCTGCCTCTGCTTAACATAATTTAAAGATATATCCCCTCAGACGCCACAAGAATTGTCGGAGGAGCATGCCGACAATCATGCGCTGCAGCATAGGCACACTCTTATAACGAAGAGGCTCAGATGTGCTCGGAAGCGCCACTACAGGGCCAGTCAACTACCCACTGCTTCACGCAGGATGCTGGGCACCTCTACGCAGCCCGGGCCTGTGCCGAAAGGCCTCGCAGACAATATAAGTCGAATAATAGAATCGTCGTCGTCGTCGTAGCAGGCGCCGTAGAAGTAGCAGTAGCAGCAGCAGTAGAGCAGTAGGAGTAGGAGTAGGAGTAGGAGTAGGAGTAGTAGGAGTAGTAGTAGGAGTCGTAGTAGTAGTAGAAGAAGTAGTAGTAGTAGTAGTAGTAGTAGCAGCTGTAGTAGTAGTAGTCGTCGTCGTCGTAGTAGTAGTAGTAGCAGTAGCAGTAGCCGTAGCCGTAGCCGTAGCCGTAACCGTAGCCGTAGCCGTAGCAGCAGCAGCAGCAGCAGCAGTAGTAGTAGCAGCAGTAGCAGCAGTAGCAGTAGCAGTAGCAGCAGCAGCAGCAGTAGTAGTGGTGGCGACAGCAGTGGTAGTACTGGCAGCGATAGTGGCAGTACTTATACAGTATTGATGTAACCGAGGCATGACGGAGCCATATGTTTGAACCCACACCAGCCGCCCAATGCCCCTTTGGCCGGTCAAGCGCTGGTAGGAAGAACAAACGCAGCTTCGACCCTCTGTGTCCAAGTCGCAAGCTTTCGGAAGCACAGGATTTACCCGTTGCTGCTGAAAGGACTGCCCGAACAAAGGTTTGCTGGGGGGCCAGCTCCCAAACCCAAAGTGTTGCCGCTGTGGTTGGGATTGTCGATGATGAGGATCGATCCTGGATGAAGATGAGCCGCAGCCATGAGCATGTTCAAGACCTTGCTGGCGATGTGAGATGGTGTTGAACATCGGGGTAGATTGAGGTAGGGGTAGTGCAGGAATCCCTTGTTACGATGTCGCTGCGCTTGTTGACAATCGGTGTTGCTAAAGCCATACAGTTGATGATGAGTTACGTCCCGATGGCGACCAAGACATTGCGCATGCTTGCTTAGTGTCGCTGCGTGCCTGCTCTGCCCGAACATAGCACACATTTCTGCTGACGGCAGTAGCCAGCATGATAACGAAAATGGGAACCATGTTGACTTCAAGGTCGTGGTGCTGATGAGTAAGTTGACGGTAGTTGAGTTGGCGAGACATGGTCCGTGATGATGCTGATATGCGCTTAGTAGTGTCAACGAATGAGATCATTCATGACAGACGATGTGCAAGTCTCGCTTGTTTGAGCCAGGAACTCAGGCAACGATGCTGTTGAGCCGTCAGCTTAAGATAGCAAGAACCACTAACGGCTGAGGCAACTCATTGATGCAGAAGCAACAGTCCAACAGGTATTGAACACTCAAACTCACATGCGGGGAACCCTCAAACCCTTAGCAGCACTACAGCCAGGCTTGTCCGAGTGTGAGTGCTGAAACAGCACTACACCCATAAATCCCTAAATGCTACCACCCTGAGCCTTTAATAAGCTTCTGTGTTATATACACCGACCAGGAGCCGAACTACGTGGTGAGGCCAGGAGAAGCCTCTTACACACTTTTTCCCGGTTCAGCTGGGGGAGTTTGGGCATTTTGGATTTAGGGTTGGTATTGCGGAGGGACTTGTTCTATATGATCTGGCCCACCGTCAGGTGAGATGGCATCGTAAGCGTGTTGAGAGTGAGCGATGCCGGATGGTTACACTCGGAATTTCTAGTCTTGGTTTGCGTCATGTCCGTTTGCAGTTCGTTTTGCGAGCATACTTGCAGATGTGCATACGCATGACATGAAACTCAACTACATGGAAGTGTACATAGCTTGTTTTCAGCATGGGGCTGTGCACACTCCCTCGCAGAGAACGCTTCAAGTTTGCTCTAGAATGCCAACGTTTGTTCTGAGATTCTCTTGCATTCTTCTGCATCACGCACCCTGACCGACTTGCAATTCTGATGTTGGCGCGCAGCGCATCCCACAAATTGGTCTGGGCTCCAAGCTCTGGTGCAAAGAAGACGGTTGTGCACTTGCCGGTGCTTTGGACTTGTCTCTCTCGCTCGCTGTCGTGCTTAGACCTCGTCTGGCCTGTAGCAGTTGCGAGATCGTAAACCAGTATCCAGCCTTAGCCCTAAACCTTGAGCCTTGCCTGCCTGGTGCGAGTGTGAGAGTCGAAGCCTTAAACCGTTTAAGCCATCCTCACCTGGGCTGGGCTGGCTCCTTGAGACTCTTTCAAGAGCCAGTCTGATACAATCAGGGATCGAATTAGGGTTTCAAGGTTTGGGGTTTAAGGATGCAAAAAGGGTTTAGGGTTTAGATTGAATTAGGGTTCAGGGGTTTTAAGGTTTGGGGTCAGGGCCTGGATTGCTTGCGCTAGTTTCTTCCAGAAGGTATATTCCTCGATTCAGGGGTACTGGGCTCTCTGGCAAAGGTGATAATAACCATGGCAATGAGACCATTATCCCCTCACAGCCCCCCCCCAGTTTCTGGGTTAGATGGGTTTTTGGTTTTAGAGTCTCGGTTTTTTTGCATCACTTAAACTGAACCGAGGAAGTCCTGAATGTTTTGATGCCAAATAAACCCTAAACCCTGATCTCGAAGGAGTTG